ACTAAATTGTTAATATGAAGTCTTCTCCCACACACAAAACATTACATAATCAATTTTCCAGTATCTATCTGCTTCTCCCAAGCACTGACAAAGAGAATATTCTTTATCAGATGCTAAAATTTTGTAATTATATTGAAGCTTTCTAAAATTATTAAAATCCTAAATGAGTTAATTCAATTAACTATTATTTTTAAAAGTAATATTTTTATTGTTTAGGATAAAAATGTATTTGTTGTTTTTGTTTAGTCATTCAGTCATGTCTGACTCTGCAACCCCATAGACTGTAACATTCCAGGCTTCCTTGTCCTTCACCATCTCCTGGAGCTTGCTCAAACTCATGTTCATTGAGTTGGTGATGTCATCCAACTATCTCATCCTCTGTTGCCCCTTCAATCTTTCCCCGCATCAGGGTCTTTTCCAATGAGTCAACTCTTCGGATCAGGTGGCCTAAGCGTTGGAGTTTCAGCTTAAGCTTCAGTCCTTCCATGAGTATTCAAGACTGATTTCCTTTAGGATGGACTTGTTGGATGTCCTTATAGTCCAAGGGACTCTCAAGAGTCTTCTCCAACACCACAGTTCAAAAGCATCAGTTTTTCAACACCCAGCCTTCCTCATGGTCCAACTCTCACATCTGTACATGACTACTGGAAAAATCATAGCTTTGATTATGTGGAACTTTGTTGGCAAACTAATGTCTCTGTTTTTTGAGCCCAAACTTGCATGATATTTAGCAAGTGACATAAACACCATGACAATGAAAATTTTGCAAATTTTTGAAAACCTCATCATTTTAAGGTTGAAAACAATTTCAGGACTGTCTTTAATAGGGAGAAATGTGTATATCATTATAGATTATCTACTTGTCTGGGTACTTTTATAAGTGAGGACTTTGAGAAGGTTTTTTTATTTGCTTTATTATTTGATTGATTATTCTAGTCTTAAATTGTTTAATATTTTGATTTTCCAGTTCATATTTCTGGCAGAAATCAGTTAATGGCAAAGATGTTTTGGGGTGCCTGTTAAGTGCAAGGAACTGTGTTAGGGGAAAAAATTAGTATAATACAATCACTTTTCTCATGATAAATCAGAGGTTTATGTTTAAACATGAAACAAGAGAGGCATATCACAAGTAAAAATTTTAAATGGTAATACAGATTTTTGAAAATTACAGAATGTTGTAAAAGTGGATAATGATGGATCCTAGTCATGGAGACCTGTTAAGATGACCAGGCGGGGCTTTCTGAGAGGCTGAAATTAAAGGTGATGCCTGTGTTGTGTGGGAACATCTCTTTTCATTTCAGGCTCAGTGATTGCTTTGAGATCGTCTCTGCTGAAAGGTTGTATGTCCTATGCTGCTGCTGCTGATAAGTCACTTCAGTTGTGTCCAATTCTGTGTGACCCCCTAGACAGCAGCCCACTGGGCTCCCCCATCCCTGGGATTCTGCAGGCAAGAATACTGGAGTGGATTGCCATTGCCTTCTCCAGTATGTCCTATGGCCCCTGGCCAACTCCACTATTACTTCTATCCTACAGGAGCAAGGGGCCAGGACAGGGTTCTTTCCACTGTGCTATAAGAGGGACACATATGGACAAGTTTTCCTGTGTCCAGGGCCTAGAGAGGCCCACTGGCCATGGGGACCACTGCCCACTACAGCAGCTGGCCTTGCTCTGTCTTGCTAGTTTTATTTAAGATAATTTTACAAGATAAAGTATTTATATGCATATTAATATTTATTTATATTTGGCTTTTTGGCTGTGCTGAATCTTCGTCACTGCAAGCAAGCTTTCTCTAATAGCAGCATGTGGGGATCGCTCTTTGTTACAGTGCATTGGCTCCTGATTTGGTGGCTTCTTCTGTAGTAGAACACAGACCCTAGATGCACGGGCTTCAGTCGTTGCAGCCCGTGAGCCTAGTAGTTGTGGCGCAGGGGCTCAGTAGTGGTGGGACATAGGCTTCGTTGCTCTGCAGAATGTGGAGTCCTTCCAGACCAGGAATCGAACCTGTGACCCCTGCATTGGCAGGCAGGTCTTATCCACATCACCACCAAGGAAGTCCCTGAATATTTTTAAACTTGAGCAGCTCAAAGATGAGAAGGACACAGTCTGGGGGTAAGAAAAGCCAAGGGTTTAGATTTCAGCATGTTGAGCTCAAGTATACAGATGTGTAAATACCTGAGAGAAGAAATTGGAAAAAAATTGACACTCATGAGTAAGCTGACAGGATTTAGTGTCATGAGAATGAGATTATCTACAGAGAGAGTATATATAGAGAAGGTGGGACCAGAACCAAATCCCAAGAAATTTCATCATTTTAGGGTAAAATTAACATACAGACATTAGCCAGAAAAAAGAAAAGAAAAAGCGAGTGTAAAGGAGGAGGCAGAGGATTAGCTGGGAAGTTAAAATCATGTGCTGTCATAGAACCCAAGAGGAAAGCAGTTTACAAAGCAGAAAATCACCTGTTTCAATGGTACTTTGTTAAATAAATTAAGAAAGTATATACTGGCTTCGAAGAAATGAAGGTTGTTAGTGATCTCTGCAGAATCGAATCCTTTAAAGTGGTTGGTGGATGTGGGCGGTGGTGGGTGAGAGTCAAGTGGAGTGGTTTGAGAAGTGATGCGATGTCAGCAAGTGGAGGTGAGAAATGTAAGTGATTTTCTGCAAAAGTTTATGGAGAACTCTTGCTGCTAAGGAACTTGAAGTCAAGGGAGGCTAAAATGATTTAACTTGAGAAACAAAAGAATAGCTTTATAAGATGAGAATAATCTAATAGGGAGATATAGATAAGTCAAGAGGAAAAAGGAAAGACAGAACAGTTTTTATCAAGTACGATGGAGGAAAATATTTACCTAAAATAGGGAAAAATATCCCAAAACATTTGGTTCATTAGAAGCAAATTGGAAGAGGGAACTGGCAGGTTTGCAGGTTTTGTCATGGGGAGATGAATGAGCAAAACTAAAAATGCTCTATTTCTTTATCCTTAAAGATGTGAAAGCAAAGTCAGTGACAGAAATCAAGAGGTAGGTACATTCAGAGAACTGAGACTCTAGGAGAGAGCTCATGAAATAAATTTGAATCTCTCATGACAGGCACATGATGCCCAATTTCTTAATACTCTCTAACGGCATTTGCTGCATGGAGTGTCAGTAATCTTGACCTAAGTATATTCACCAAAGTGGATGGTATGTGGGAATTGCAGGTCTGGGCACTGACCACTTGAATGGCTAATTTCACTCAGCTGTTTCAACTGTTTCAGGGGTGGATAGTAGTATAGTAGACACACAACTTTTAGCAGTCCAAGTACAATTTTCTATGCTGTTGCTATGGCGTGAATGTCTGTGGCCATGTTGAAATCCTAATGACCAGTGTGGGGGTATAAGGAGGTGAGGCTTTTGGGAGGTGTTTACTGCATCACGGCAGAGCCCTCATCACTGCCCTTCTAAAGGAAGCTCCAGAGAGCTCTCTTGCTCTTTTATGCATGAGAAGTCTGTGACTCAGAAAGAGGGCCTTCACCCAACCCTGCTGGGACCCTAGCCTCCAGCTTTGTAAGCTTTGCAATCTGCAGTATTTTGTTAGAGTAGCCCATACAGACTAAGACAATGCCCTTGAGCTGCTTGGGATATTTAAACTGTGTACCTTGAAAATTTTTAACTGTCTGAAAAAAGAAAAAAAAATCAATGCATTTTAAATATCCCTGCTGCTGCTTTCTTCAATCGCCTCCTGCCTACCCTTAGAGGATATCTGTGAGTTCACAATGAAATGTGCTTATACATATACATATATAGATATGTCTGTATATGTCTACATATCTATATATATCTACATATATATCTATCAATGCAAAGAAATAGAGGAAAACAACAGAATGGGAAAGACTAGAGATCTCTTCAAGAAAATTAGAGATATCAAGGCAGCATTTCATGCAAAGATGGGCTTGATAAAGGACAGAAATGGTATGGACCTAACAGAAGCAGAAGATATTAAGAAGAGGTAAGAATACACAGAAAAACTGTACAAAAAAGATCTTCATGACCCAGATAATCACGATGGTGTGATCACTCACCTAGAGCCAGACATCCTGGAATGTGAAGTCAAGTGGACCTTAGAAAGCACCACTAAGAACAAAGCTAGTGGAAGTGATGGAATTCCAGTTGAGCTATTTCACATCCTAAAAGATGATGCTGTGAAAGTGCTGCACTCAATATGCCAGCAAATTTGGAAAACTCAGCAATGGCCACAGGCCTGGAAAAGGTAAGTTTTCATTCCAATCCCAAAGAAAGGCAATGCCAAAGAATGCTCAAACTACCGCATGATTGCACTCATCTCACACACTAGTAAAGTAATGCTCAAAATTCTTCAAGCCAGGCTTCAGCAATATGTGAACCATGAACTTCCAGATGTTCAAGCTGATTTTAGAAAAGGTGGAGGAACCAGAGATCAAATTGTCAATATCTGCTGGATCATCGAAAAAGCAAGAGAGTTCCTGAAAAACATCTATTTCTGCTTTATTGACTATGCCAAAACCTTTGACTGTGTGTATCACAATAAACTGGAAAATTCTGAAAGAGATGGAAATACCAGACCACCTGACCTTCCTCTTGAGAAATCTATAAAAACCTTAGGATCCCTCAAAACCTAGAGTGATTCTCAAAAGATTAAAATATGGGTAACTGATTAAGCATCCAGACATTAAAGATCCAAGTGCAAAATGCTTACATTTTGTTTTCTCCTGATACTTTCTTCGGGTCCTTTTACTTACCATCAACGTTTACTCCAAGTTCTGGCATGTTAATTGAACCCTCCTTGTAACTGATAAGAATTTTTCAGTATTCAATACTCACTTTGTGCCTGTTTCTTGCTTTTATTTTGACAATTTTCATCTTTATCTGAATGTGTTCTCTGCTGATGCCAAGTGGCTCCCATTGCAGAGATTCAGTGTATTCAGGTATTTGAGAACAGAATGGGACCCATTCCCTCTGAGTTTCCTCTTCTTCCTTTAGGTACTGTTACTCGATAGAGGGATGTTGACTCAGCCTTCCTCAGTGACAGTCTCAGGAACACTGACAGTGCCTTCAATTGTGTTACATCACCTCTACTAAGTGGCCGCTGGGAATACTTCCTGACATCTCATGTATGGGTTAGTAATTTCTCCTATTTATATTCTCTCCTAGACCTTGCTTTTCTCTGCTTGAAATTTTTCTGTTGGAAAATGCACTTAAATTATAGTTTGTCCCATTCCCTGACCCTACTGAACTGGGAGCATATACCTTCTCTCAATCTGGTCCTATATGAACTTCATCTTCCAGAAAGATAAGTAATCCATCCTATTTAATGCAATCATTGCCTTTCTCATAAATTGTTAGATAAAGAGAAATGGAATTAATATTGCTTTTGCTTTTACCTATAGCTTTCATTTCTTCTGATATGTTTGGAAAGTTCAGAACTACTTTTTTAAAATTTGACTACTAAAAAGCCAACAAAGTTTTTTCTAGATTGTACTAACATACTTGAAGTATAGATCAGATGAGGAAATGAGATTGCATTCTCCTTAACCAATACTGATATATTTGCAACATTGAACTTTGCTGAATGTCATATGTAAAGAGAACATTTTTAAAGTAGGCTATATAGAAGATGATGTTTGGAATAAAGATTATTCACATTACTTCACATTACTTGTGAAGAATTGGTAAAGAGAGTAGGAAGAACTGAGCTAGTTATGTGAACATGTGATAGGAATAAGAACTAGGATGAGAAATTGAAATTGCTTGAGCAGAATTTGTCTTAATAGATGAAATCACATGATAAACACTGGAAGGCCCAAACATGAAGAATGGGCTGTTCCCAAGTGGTAAGCTCTTTGTGGTGGAGGGGGCATTAAATCAGGGGCTATATGGGCATTTGTCAAGGATGATGTGGAAATAATTCTTTCACTAGAGAGGTGGTGGAATTGATGTTCCTTACAAATCTAATAATCTCTAATTTCATGGGGGTCAAATTGAAAATGCTATCTCTTAAAGGGTAATCTGATATTTCTTGAACATTTCTTCAATATTTACAATTGCAAGCATAAAAATAGTAACAGATTGTGCCCAGAAAAATATATTACTGCAATCATGCAGATTATTAGAAGGTTTCCCAGGTGGTTCAATGGTAAAGAATCCACCTCCCAATGCAGGGTACAGGGGTTTGATCTGGGTCAGAAAGTTCCCCTAGAGAAGGAAATGGCAACACACTCCAGGATTCTTTCCAGGGAGATCCCATGACAGAGAGCCCAGGGGCTACATTCCTTGGGTTCCCAAGGGTTTGGCCCCGCTTGGTTGTTTGGGCTTGGCCCTTTTTTATTATTGGTTTCACTTGATTTAGGACCAAAGTTTTAAAAGGGACAGTGATAACGGTACTTTACATGAACCCAAATGGTGAGGTATCTGTCATGTATATTTGTGTTTCAAATAATTTCATGTTATTTGTTCACTTACTGTGCCCCTTTCATATGTCAGTCAAACTGCTAGGCTTCTAGATTATGAATAAATAAACAACAATAAAATTAAAAAACAAACAGAATTAAAAAACCCTTTCTCCCCGCTTTTTTTCTTTTCATGTAAGTGGTGAAACAGAAAATCATCATGTGTTATTAATATGATTATAAAGAAAATCTAAAACTGAAGAAGACAGCAAAGCAATGATATGAGAAGACTTTAATTTGCTTCTTTAAATAAATGACAAATAGGCAAAACATAAATTAAAATATGAAAGATGAATAACACATAGCTCATTTTTGACATATTGAATTCTATACTCTGAAGGCAGAGGAGAAAACAGTTTTACCGCCAAATGTTCAAGGAACAGACACAAAACAGATCAAAATTTAGGAAAATGTCAATTAAACATGGAAATAGTATTAAAAATATTCTTTCTTTCTGAAGTCAAATAGCTGAAATTAACTCTAAATTAGGAAAAAAATATTGCTTGAAACAAATAAACAGAATCTCAGTATACACAGAAATTTTGTTTTAGAATGTACAGAGGATATAAAATTTCTAAAGATAAAAATAGTCATGGAAATGGAAATACCACTGTTTTAAAGGCCGAGAAAATTCCATTTAAGCAGCTGTCAGAATGAAAATAAGTAAATTTAGAATTCAACATAAATGTTATTAAGAAGAAAACAATTTAGTGAGGGCCTAAGGATAAAAAGATGTGGCAAAGATCAAAAGGAAATTAATAAGCTAGAATTAAAATGGTAGGATCAGTACAATGCAAAATTTGGTCTTTTAATTAACTGAACTGTAAGCTCAGAAAACAAAGAAAAAAATGTATAAATCATAAATATTAGAACATACTGAGAATAAGAAAACAATCATAAATATTAAGCAACTAACACAATTTACATTTTCACCACCATTTAGAATTGCTTTGGAGGTAATAAGCAATACAATCAAACAAGGAAAATAGATTAAAATATAAAAATTGCAATGAAGAAGTTAATGCCATCATTATTTGAAGATAATATGTTTGTACAAGTGGCAATCTAAAAGGCTTTAACTGAATAATAAGTAATTCAAAAATTTGCTTGTGGACAGCATTTATTCATTTTATTCATTGATAAATCTGAGATAAAATAGTGCCATAAGTTCTTGATTTAAATTTTCCCTGTCTTATGCTAAATAAGGATAAACGAAGTCAGAAGGCAACAATGTATACTGAATTCTTAAGACTAACAAGCCCATCTAAGGAAATTTGAAAGTGTAAGTGAAAGTCGCTCAGTCCTGTCTGACTCTTTAAAACCCCATGCACTATACAGTCCATGGAATTCTCCAGGCCAGAATACTGGAGTGGGTAGCCTTTCCCTTCTCCAGGGGATCTTCCCAACCCAGGGATCGAACCCAGATCTCCCGCATTGCAGGCAGATTCTTTACCAGCTGCGCCGCAAGTGAAGCCCAAAGGAAGTTTGGAACTTCTTAATTCTTTCTCTTTCATAGTATCCAAGGAGAAATAAGTGGTTACCATGAATGCAGCTAAGAAGAAATCAGCTGAAATTTTAACAAGTTCTTAGAGGCCAAGTATAAGGTTGACGTGTTAGTGTGAGATGTCTAGAGTTCCCAGTCGCAAGAGAAGTTGGCATTCAACAGCAAACATTTTCCAAGAGAGCCTTTTTTGTGCGAGGCACAGTCCAGTGGTCGAGGCCATGTGTACGCAGCCTGTGCAGTCACATAGGCCTCACTTTAGGAGAGCTCTGCATCGAGTTTGATGTTCTGCTCTCACCATCTTGAATTTAATAGTTTTTGAACAAGGGGCCCAAGGTGTTTAGCTTGCACTCAGAGTCACAAATGACACACCCAGTTGGCATGTCGGAGGGGATTAGTTGCTGAAGGGAGACAGAAACTAATCCCTGTTCATTTGCCCAAATGTTTCCCTCTTCCTACGCAGGGCCTAGACAAAACTCCACTCATTCTGGAGTTAGAGGCGAAGTTTTTTGCCTTCGGTGGAGGAGTAGGAAACTGTCTTAGATCCATCATACAGGCAAAGATCCATTGTTGCCCAGGGAGGGGCAGAAGCCAAAACCTTCTGTCCTCAGAGTAGGTACGTTCATGAGCTTGGAAGGCTCATTATTGTTAAATGTCAGTTCTCCATGATTGATCTATGAAGACAATCCTAGTGATTAGTCCAGCACGCATTTTACAATTTGACAGTTCAATTCTAAAATGTAAATGAGAAATTGAAGAAAATAGAATAGCCAGCACAGTTTTGAAAGAGGACTGCTAAGTGAGCATTTGCATTACCTCATTTTCAGGCTCTGAAGTTGTAGTAGCATGATACAGATGCAGTGACATTTATGTAAGGACAAACATGCAGGTGGGGCTTCCCCTGTGCCTCAGCTGGTAAAGAAGCCACCTGCAATGTGGGAGATCTGGGTTCGATCCCTGGGTTGGGAAGATCCCCTGGAGAAGGGAAAGGCTACCCACTCCAGTATTCTGGCCTGGAGAATTCCATGGACTGTATAGTCCATGGGATCACAAAGAGTCGGACAGGACTGAGTGAATTTCACTTTCACTTTCAAACATGCACATGAGCAGAATAAGCCATGTCCAACTCTTGCGGCTCCATGGACTAAAAGTCCATGTAATAGCATAGGTAAAGAAGCATGCTAAATGAAAGACCCCAGACATAACAGGCTACATATTCTGTGGCTCAGTTTATGTGATGTTACGGAAAAGACAAAATTAAAGGGGCCAAGTCAGATCCATGATTCTCAGGGACTGGAGGTGGGGAGAGAAATGACTACAAAGTGGCACAAAGAAAAATTTGGGGGTGATAGATATGTTTTACATCTTGACTGAATTGGTTATTATGCAACTTTATACATTTGTGGAAATTCATAGGACAGCATATCCTAAAACCTGATGCTGGGAAAACTTGACGGCAGAAGGAGAAGGGGCTCAGAAGATGAGATGGTTAGTTAGCATCACTGACTCAATGGACATAAATTTGAGCAAACTTTGGGAGACAGTGGAAGACAGAGGAGCCTGGCATGTACAGTCCAAAAGGATGCAAAGATTCGGACACAACTTAATGACTGAACAACAAAAAACGTGTGGGTTTTACTCTTGGTCAATTGTACCTTAACTTAAAATATCCTCACTCAAGTTTAGAAAATTGAATATGAAATCATTTTTATATATAAAATTTGCAAATATCCAAGAAGTAGGTGATAGCACCTTTGCTTGTTGCAGTGCTTAGGGAAAGCAATGTGTTTAGTGAAGTGTCAACTGACATAATATTTATGTAGAAAAATGTGACTATAAATATTATAATCTATATGTTATTTGATCCCTCAAATCTCTAGGAATTTATACTAGAAACATAATTTTACATGTACCTGAATAGGTACAGTAATTCTCATTCCAGCATATTTGCTGAATTTGAAACAATTTAAATGTCTGTTAGTATGTGATTGGTTAAGTTATGGGGTAATCATACAGTTGGATGCATAGTATGTTGCTGTTTTTTTAAAAAGGTCCATTTTACAGCTATGAGTAGCAACTTGATGCAGGAAAAAAAAAAAGCAAGGGCCAGATAACTGACAGTAAAAAAAAAAATTATAATTCAAAGTATATATGTATGTGCCCCTGTGCATGGAATGTCTCTGTAAGTATTAAAAGCATTAGTATATGATGAAGGTGAACTGGAGGATGAGAGACACATGTGGAAACAAAATTTATGTTTCATGATTTATCATCTCATAATCTTTTTAAAACTCAACATTCAGAAAACTAAGATCATGGGGTCCAGTACCATCACTTCAAGGTGAAT